CCTGAGCATCAGCTTTTAAATGTGTTGCACGTCTCTTTAATGCTACTACTACTATTCCTAGCAATCTCTTTTCTTTCTCTAGTTCTTCCTTTCATTCATATGTTTGATTCATTTTTTTCTTTATTTTAATAATTGACTTGAAAATCTTTTGTAGTAGCCTTAAAACATGTTATATGTCTCCTTATTGCTATTGTTGCCATCATTGCTAGCCTCTCTTCTTGATGTAGTTCCTCTTCTTTTACATGACATGCTCTTATAAGTTCTACCAGCTCTTCTTGTTTATGCTTCTACCTCTTTCTATTGCATTCAACTTTTGTAGTATTTTTCTTTATATGAGATGCATGTTTTTTTTGGTCTTCTATATCTTTGTCGTACTGCACTTCTATTTGCACCATTGCCTTCTCCTTTTCCATATTGTTTTTTTCATTATTCTACTTTATTGTTCTTAAAGAACAATAGTCTAAAATTTTGAAGAACAACCCTCTAAACTTATAAAATTCTAAACTTCACAAAATTCATTTTTTTTCTTATTAACCCTCTTTTTTATTGCTATTGATCACAAAATTCCACAAACTTCACAAACTTCACTTTGTTGTTCTAATTTTAATTATTATTTTTTAAAAATCTTCTACAAAAGGCTCTTCATCACAACTTGATTTTCCTTCATTGTATTAGTTAGATTCTTTGCTATCTCATGATTGCATACTAGATGCAATAAATCTCGCTATAAATTATTTCTTCTTTATTTCTCTTACAAACAAAAAATTATTTAATAAAATCTATAGACTAAATTCATGCAATTCATAAAATCAACAATTTAAATTTACATAAACTTTATAAAATTCTAAATTCACATTCTTAAATCAAAGAACCTTATTTACATTGCACTTGGTTTGCATGCCTTTAAGAAATTTGAAATCGACTTTTGAAGTGCTTTTCTCTACAATAGTTGCATATTTTTGTGGCCTTCCATATCTTTGTTGTATTGCACTTCTATTTGCACCACTACCTATTCTACCTCCATATTTTCGTTGTTATTGCTTCACTTTATTATTATTATTATTGCTAATATTATTCAAAAAAAATATGAAAAAGATTCTTTATTACAACTTGATTTGCCTTCATTCTACTAATTAGATTCTTTTTGTTCCATGACTACATACTAAACTCCATAAATCTTGATATGAATTTTTTTTTTTTATTTCTTCTACAAATATAAAATCTAGTGTAGTTTAAAGACATTGAATTCAATGTTCTTAAAACATATTGGATTTAATCATTGAAATCCATAATTTAAATTCATACAATTTATGATAGTCATAGTCCAAATTTACAAAAATTTCACAAAATTTTAGACTTTAGAAAATTCTAAATCCATAGAGACTTCACAAAAACTTCACTCAATTATAAATTCACAAAGCCATATTCACACTATACCTAATTTGCATGTGTTAAGTAAATTTAAAGTTGGATTTTACTTAAATAAATTAATATTGTTCTATTTTATTATTCTTCTTGTTGTTATTGTTGTTGTTCTTCAAAAAAACTTTTTCAAAGTGCTCTTCATTGCAACTTGATTTACCGTTATTACAATTGTTACTTTTGCAAAGGACTCTTTATTGCAACTTCATTTGCCATCATGCCAATTATCACTTCTATTGAACGCATATAAACTTGATTCTATTAATTAAATTCTTTGCTATTTCATGACTTGATACTTGGAGCCATGAATTTCAACATGAATTCTATCTTCTTCATTTCTTCTATAAATTCAAATAATCAAATTCAAATTCAAATTAGAATTTATAGTCTAAATAAAATTCATATGAAATTAATATTTATAGTCTACAAATATTTTATAAATTTTATAATTTAAAAATATTATAACTCTTATTTTACAAAGGCAAATTATTCATATTACAACTTATTTGTATGAATTCAATAGATTTTATGTCGTTTAGATACATAAACTAAAAAAATTCGCAGTATCATTGAATGCATGTTTGTACACCATCTCACATTCTTAGAACAATTGTTGTCAAGTAATCTACTAAGAAACACAAAAGATTCATTTTTCCCTACCTTTGTGTGTCATTTGCTCTAAGCTATAAGTTTCACTATCCTATAGTAGTATAGACTTTTTTGTGCAAACACCTATTTTGATTGCTCTAAATGTTTTTGAAAACAATGTTGCTGTGAGATGTTACATAGCATAGCAACAATGCTAGGTTTTTAGTACAATTAATATTGTCTGTAGCACCTCAATAAAATTTATAAATGTTTAGAAGATTTGAAGTCATTGGACTGCATAAGCTGTAAAGTAGAAGTAATAGCAATGAGTGCAATTCAATGTATCACCTCAAGTGTGTGTATCATTTGCTCCTAGTTATAAGTTTTGTTGCATCAATTTAATAGAGACTTTTTGTACAAAAATCCATCTATTGCTCAAACTTTTTATAAAGTCTTTCTTCTAATAGCCTCTCATCTTGCTATTGCTCTTGAATTTTTATAAAGTTTTTTTTGCTTTAACTTTTTGTTGCTCTAAGATATTACATAGTATAGCAGTAATGCCAAGTTTTTAGTGCCATTGGCAACATCTTTACCACCCCAATCAAATTTATATTATTGTTTTATTTAAAAGCTGTTCACATGATCAAAGAGCACAATGTTCAAAAGTGTCAATTATACAAATGTAAATGCAAACATCAAAGTAAATGCAAACATTTGCATTGCATGATTTATAATGTGAAAGCAAATCTAAATTAAACCTAAGAATTTGTATTCTTGTATTTTATTGGATATTATTGCTCTCTTATTTTTAGGAAAGCGCACAACTTATTCAAATTGCCAAATTGGTAGCAAAATGGAGCCATTTTTTATATCCAATTATGTACAATACATAATATACATCAGTAAATACATTGTGTAAGGACCTCACTGTAACTATACTTAAACATAACTACTTATATAGTTCTAGTGCCTTTTATTGCTCCAATTAATAGAATTTTTTATCACTACATGCAAACGCTGAAAGTCAATTTTTTTATGAGAGTGATAAAAAAAAGTATTCACTTTTGTAGAAGGTCTTTTATTGCAAGTTGATGCCCCCTTAAGTATGATTATTATAAAAAAACAAAAAACAAAAAAAACAAAAACAAAAACACAATATATCATAGCAATTAATTAGTGTTTCTTATCATAATTAAAAATAATTATAATACATGTCAATACTTAATTAGTGGCCTTTAGTACTTTAATTAATGGGATTTTTTGAAGTTACATATAAACTCTCAAAGTCAATTTTTTTATATGAGTGGTGTTCATTGTCACTCTTACAAAGGACTCTTCATTGCAACTTGATTGCCTTTATCACAATTGTCACTTCAACAACCAATCAATAAAATAAAATAAAATAAAAAAATAAATATACACACACACAATATACCTTGGTAGCCAATTAGTGACTCTTACTGCAATTTATACAAAGAACAACAAAATATATATATATATATATATATATACATACATATATATTATTAAATAAATTTTAATTTCTTAAAATTTTATTTAAACAAAAAAAATTATATATTTATTTATTTATAAAAAAATATACATATATATATATTTAAATATTTTTTTAAGAAATAAAAGACATTGAAACAAATGTTGTAACATTTCTTTGAATGTACTATCAAATAGTATAATAGAATGGGTTTTTCAATTCTCAACATATATATATATATATATATATATATATATATATAAATATCAAACCATCATTTTAGAAAAAATAAAATAAAATTTTGAACAACAAAATAATACACAATCCTTTTAAGAAAAACACCTCAAGTCTAGGTTAAAGAAATCAAACTATAACTTAATCAACAGGAGTTCAGAAAAACGACACAGTCAAGTGAACAGGAGATAAAATAAGCCATAAAGATACACAACTAAAAAGGTCAAACAGCATAATCTAAAACCAGACACCGAAATCCAAATTAAATAAGAAAATAAAAGCATGACAAATAGAGAATGAAGGTGGACTATTATATAAATATAATTGCAGCACATTAGTAAGTTAACAAGCTAGGATTAGTAACAAGCCCTGCACTAACTGATAAGGCAGAAGGCGTGACCCCCCCCCCCCGGTGACCTGGTCTCCGTGGCACTGACCTCCTTCCTCCCTCCCTCCCTCCCTGCCATACCCTCGGATCTCACCCCCCACAACCCAACATCAACGCCTCCTGTCCACCACCCCACACGGCGCCCTACCACCGCGTCCAGACTTCGATCGGACACCACACTATGCCATCGTGGCATATCAACATTAATCACACCCATTGAGCCGGGGTTCAGTGAATGGGAATCGTCCGCGTGGACATGGGGCGGTGCACGTCGGGACGCTGTGTGTATTTCACCCCGCCATCAACACCACGGAAGCAGGGCCGGATGAGCAATCGCGGTGTTGGGGGGGGGGGATGCTGTAATATATGCCTCATGTCTTGCAGTAAAGTAAAGCTCTAGAGAAGAGGGAGCGAGAGGGCGGTGATGATAATGCAATCCCTAGCTCGCATTATCTCTCTCTCGCTCCCTCGCTCGCTCGATGTTTCTCTGTCGCGTCCGTTAATTCATGTGCTGGATGATTGATTTCTCTTTTACTTCTTCGAAAATCAGAGCAATCGTCGCTGGAAGCTGCGGGGGAGGGGGGGTGACCTTTCGGGGCTTTTAAGGGATTCGCTTGCCTTCTTGGAGAGAGAGAGAGAGAGAGAGAGAGAGAGCACGTGTGGGAGAAACGAATGGCGTGTGAGTAGTGTTGTTATCAATCAATCGTTGGCGCTGCGGGAGGCTGGCTGCGTGGAGGGGAGGGGTGGTCACCCGGGCACGTGAGTAATGTTTTTGACTTTGGTTGCGAATGGGGGCTTGGTGAAGAGCAGGGGGGAGGAGTACAGGTGGTGGTGCTAATTGCAGGCGGCATTATTCAGGGAAGGGAGGGAGGGGGTTCGTGGAGGCGCAGGGTTAGGAGTGTGGAGGGGGTGGAGAATTGGCCTTGGGGTTAAGGTGGCTTTGATGGTGGAGTGGAGGAGGTTGACAGAGTTTGGCGATGGTGTGAGAGGGGGGGAGGAAGTGTGCCGGTTGATGTGCGGATGTGGTGGCAAGGGTGAAAGGGTTGAGGTCGCGGGTTGCTTTTGTTTAGTGATTGACGGAGAGGGTCGGTGGCGGTGTTTCCCATGGGTGGTTAGGAGGAGGAGTTACAGGCGTAGTCTATTGGTTGCCCCTTCGGCTGGAAACTTGGATTTTGATCAGGGAGGTTAAGCGGCGCCTTGGAGGTGTTAATTTGGACTTGGAAGTGGAAATGGGGTTGAGCGCATGAGGAAGTAGACGTCGGGGTTTTATGCTTATCGTAAGAATTTTCGCATTACTCTGTTTCACAACTGTGATGTTAGGTTTACACCCTTTAATATTATGAGTACTTTCGTGGCGCAGAGAGTCCATAAACGTTCGGGTAATTCTGGGAACTCAAGTCAAATTTGACTTTAGAACTGCAATCTTCAAGCAATTGGCACTCTTAATAATAGTTCTGGAGCACACATTCAGAGCGAGAGCTAGAGAAAGGACAATTTGTGGAGTTTGTGGAGAAATTTACTAATTCACAAATGTGGGATGTTTGCGGTGTGTACCCATCTTCTTTTGCTCGCGGCCCGCATGTGCATCTGAACAAGCTCGTGGTTTTTGTCTGCTTGTACAGCATTGAATATGCAATCTATGAGGCTTAATTCCTAGGAGTGTTAAAAGGCGACCTGAGAGATTGCGAATAAAACTGTTCAGCCCTCAATTTTGGTCCAAGTACATCTGACTTGGGATTGTTGGAGCATGCGGGCATAAATGGATGGACTCATCAGAGAACCAATGACGTGAAAGTTGGAATGTGCTCTCATTCTCTGTAAATAGTTATTCAGAGGTTAGATTGTTATATTGGGATAGTCAATCTCACTTGGGTAACTTGACGGACGCGATCGGGGGTCTGGAAGGGGTAATGAGGGATCTTGACTCGTAATGGCGACCCTGGTATCTCTCCAGCTAGTGCGGGTTGCAGGTGTGAGGGATCATCACGCTAGTGCTTATACCATCCCTGTAAGTTGTTACCTTTGAACCATCTCATGAGTATGCCAATTGTACAAGTTCGTGAGTTTAATCTACTTAAGTAGAGAAGCCATGCATGGACAATCGCAATCACATTTGGCTTATGCTATTTTAGCATTTGAAGCAATACTTGGTATGGGGTGCATTACAATTGACAGTGATGTATTTTGGTGGCAGTCACGGCGGTCAAAGTTGAACTTTAACAAACGCATTGTCCAGGGACTCAGTTTGAGGACCGCATCACAACCCAGGGTATATTTTCTGTGTTAATATTTAGTGAAGTAGTAAGTTGTAAAATCTCATTGTGAAGTCAAACATTTTTCTATTACTCTTCACTGTGCAGCTTGCTGTTCTGTTGATATAGGAATTTATGGGTCGGTATCTTGGTTGCAGGAGGGCAGCCTACAGGGAGGAGGGTCTTTGTGTAGTCCATTATGGAGCCACCTTTTGGTCTCGAAGAGAAACTCGCATGTACGAGCAGTCCGTTCCCCAACTTCCGCCTCTTCTGTTCAACCAATTCCTTATGAGCAAGAAATCAAGAAAATAGCTGTAAATGTAGCCAATTATAGTGCAATCCTGGCCAGTTACACTGCTCATCTTTTAAAGAGGTGCGTGTTTCCCTTGTCGGGACTTGATATGTATTGTTGATTGTTGTGTGCACTATGTCTCTCCAACTATTTGCGTATCTTCACACTATAATCTCATCAATATTTGCAAATAATAATGCTCAATACATGTCTATATTCTAACGAGCATAAGCCTGGCAACAAGACAATTTTGAAAGCTAGTTTGTATGTTGAATTCTCACTTCGTGACTTTACATGGAATGGAATATGTTGTGTGGTAATGATTTTCTAAGGTTTGGAATGGTGACGTGGATGTGAAAAGATTGTAAATAGTTTTCAATCCAAGTCCCACTTGATTTTGATTCTGATTGATTTTTAATTAAAATCACTATCTCGGACTGTGAGCTCTTTTTCATGCTTATGTTGGTTCGTGATTTATTTCAGGACTGTCGATTTGTATCAGCTATGCCCTCCTTTGGTAGCTCAGGTTGCTCCTGCCATGGGACTTGTAGCATTTTCAATATGGGGCTTGGGACCTACGACAAGATTGATACGTAAAAATATTTTCAAGGTATTCTTGGATATTCTGATCTTAGCATCACATCGTTTTCTTTCAATACAGCACTGGTTTTACTCATTATCCATTTTTAATGTTCTTCGAGGTCCTTTTTTTTGCATGTGTTCGTCGCTTGCATGTGATTTCATATATTTGTTAGCTTTCTGTTTGATTTTGCTAAGTCGACTGGGTATGTACATGCAGAGGAGTGATAAGAAATGGGATGAGAGCCGAACTTTCAATATTATGGCTTCCTACATGCGACCCATTTTGTTGTGGATTGGAATCATCCTCATTTGCAGGTATTGTTGCAGCAATGATCTGGGCGAATCATTTTTTAACTGGTTAAATTTCTATGGTAGTGTAGGCATTCAACATTGAGTTTACTAGCAGAATTGCAGTATTTACAATGTGAAAAGACCCAAAAGACCCTCTTGATTCGCTACAGACTTAACCCTGCAATGAGTTGCAGTGTGCACGTGGTTCTTAAATATGGTCTGTTTACTCATCAATCTTTGTGCTGTGCTGCAGAGCATTTGATCCAGTGGTACTGTCCACAGAAGCAAGCCAAATTATCAAGCAACGGTTTGTCAACTTTGTCCGGTCACTGTCGACCGTTCTTGCTTTTGCCTTCTGCACTGCCAGGTATTGTCATTCTTATGAAAACAACGCCTGTCCAATTCATTCTTAAATAATTTGGCAGTGTAGTATAGTAAGCTTGTCTAATTCATATGGGTTCATCTGTTGCACAGTTTGACACAGCAAGTTCAAAGGTTTATGATGGAGCATCAAGATGCAGAGGAGTCACGAAATGTATGTTTCCTTTTCCGAATATTTTTTCTGTCCTATTTTTGAATCCGAATGCTTCTTCTGGAATTTTATTCTTAGTCTTATTTTACTTTTTTCTTCCCTCATAGTCAACACTATTATCATTCTCTTTTTTATCTGCTGCTTTTTGTAAATGTTATATATTTTCTGGCAACGGTATCGCAAGAAGTCCTGGTCTTCTGTTGCTCATGTTATAGGTGCTGTCCTGAAGTTTCGTAGGATAAGGCATCTCTTTATGTACGTCATGTTATTTGCAGATTGGTGTGCAATTCATCGGCAACGCTGTATATACTTCTGTTTGGATAGCAGCAGTATGTCTGTTTATGGAGCTGTTAGGATTTTCTACACAAAAGTGGATTACAGCTGGAGGATTTGGAACTGTGCTTATCACTCTTGCTGGTCGTGAGGTAATCTTCAAAAAAATTCATCATATGCTGAAAGAGAGCACCTTGTACGTGTTCAAGTTGAATTTTTGGGACAAAAGCCTTTTCAACTAAAGAACTAATAAATTGTCTGTGTAATAGTCTGTAATAGATATTCTACATTGAAGGGAGTGGCCTAGTCAATAGTCCCACATATCTAACAACTAACTTACGGAGTACCTTCCTATGAAGCCATGTGTTTTCTTTTTTCTTTCTTTTCTTTTTTCTTTTTTTTTGTTTAGAGTGTTCATTTAGACGTTCGGACGAGAGTGCCAGAGTGTTCTATGATTTTGAGATAGACTGTAATGACTTGGTAGAATGGCTCCCAAGTATTTGCTTGGAATTATAGAATTTCGTTAATATTTTTGCGCGTTGCAGATATTCACGAACTTTTTATCAAGTATCATGATACACGCTACTAGGCCTTTCGTTGATAATGAATGGATTCAGACGAAAATCGAGGGTCAGGAGGTGTCTGGCACTGTTGAGGTGAGGTCTTTATCCATCATTGTGAATCATGTGTTAAAGCTCTCACAAGTTAGATTCTTTTTCTTTTTTTAATTTTAATTTTAATTTTAATTTTTGTTGTAAGTTTTATAATTTATCTTTAGTATTTCAAGTCGTGTGCATCACCGTTGCAGTACTGACCTTTTAGAGGACGATCATACTATGTGGTCTTCATGTTGTTTAACTTCCTTAAAGTGTTAAGCACAATACTTCATGTGGACTGGAGCTTGCTTGAACATTCGAGAGTAATTCAAAACACCGCAATATGTATGTATATTTCTGACATTGACTGGTACATACGGCTCCTTGATTTGCTTGGACTTATTATTATAACATGTATAGCATGTTGGGTGGTGGTCTCCAACTGTGATTCGAGGAGATGATCGTGAAGCTGTCCATATTCCAAATCACAAATTCAGTGTGAGCGTAGTCCGCAATTTGAGTCAAAAGACTCACTGGCGAATCAAGACGCATCTGGGAATCAGCCATCTCGATGTCAACAAAATGACAGTAAGTTGGAGACCCACATTCTTGCCATTCATGCCGTAGCCTTAATTGTTTGACTTAGAGATCATCTTGTTGTTAGTATGTTTACAGGGCATTTGCTTAATATTGAATGCGGTACAACTTACCATATTAACTAATCATAAGCGGGAATCGTCTTGCAGCCCATTGTTGCAGACATGCGGAAAGTTCTGGCAAAGCATCCTCAAGTTGAGCAGCAGCGACTGCATCGCCGTGTCTTTTTTGACAGTATCGATCCTGAGAATCAAGCTCTGCTGGTTAGTGCTCGAGATTTCCTCATCACATAAACAACCGTTTGTTTCACGCTTTATCATATAAAGTTAAGGTACTGATAATAGTGTGAACATTACGTATATTTGCAGATCTTAATTTCCTGCTTCGTGAAGACCTCTCACTTCGAGGAATACCTGCGTGTCAAGGTTAGTTACAAAATGACATGCAGAATGCTCGAACTTTTCTGTTTCGTAAGACATATTTGTGGCGATTATCGAGGTAGCGTGGGTTTATAATGTTGTGGGGTGAACCCTTGCAGGAGATTATCCTTTTGGATTTGTTGAAGGTTATTAGCCATCACAATGCACGCCTTGCAACCCCAATTCGTTCAGTACAACGTGTGCTGGACGAAACCGAGTCAAGGAGTGCTGGATTCCGCGACATGCGGAGTGCTAATCAAGCTCAACGGCGGACTTTCTTGCTTCTAGGTTCCCAAGCTGTATCGGCTTCTGACGACGAGGAAGATGACAGTGATGTCTCAGAGGATATCTCTGAAGATTTATCACAACTCAGCGCGCAAACAGTGAGGGCCACTAAAGCAGGGCCGACCAAAGATAGTGAAGACAGTGGAAGTGAAAGTGATGGAGCAGTGCAGGAGCAACGTGATTTGAAAGCTCCAAACGAGCTTAACAAACACAAGGGAGGTGTTTCTGAAGGTGATGGTAACGTAGGAGCTGACTCATCGAAGACTCCTGTAGCAGTACAACAAATCGCTAAGGGCTCAGGTTCTAATGAAAGCCTTCAGGAACCAGTTTTGACAGAGAATGTCGAAGGTACTGATGTAAGTGAAACTCTTATGGATAGGATTCATGCCGGAACTGAGGAAAGGTTGATAAAATCGCATACAGACACATCTGTACCGCAGAACCAGAGTGAGAATGGGAAGGCTACCTCGGAGCAACCAGTTGCTGGAAATCAAGTTGCAGCAGCTGACGTTGTCGTGGAGTTGCCAAAGGAGAAGGTGCCACATCTTTACTCGAACAACGTCGGTCTCAATGATGCGAGTGAGCAAGGTGCTGAGACTTCATCGTCAATAAAAAGTGATTCTCAGGGGAACAAGAGTGACACTCCGAAAATCAACAACAACGTTCACAGCGACCTGGCAGATCATGGAGTGGGAACTGCTGTCCAGACCGGCACTGATAGCACCCAAGGACAAACACATACCTCGAAAGTGATTGATAAGCACGTAAGTGCTCACGTAGCGATGGAAAGTACACCATCAGCAAGCTCAAGTGACCCGTGGAGACAGCCGTCTACCTCACAAACGAAAGAAGAAAGTAGTGTTAGTGATGGAGTTATGGTGGGAGCATCGACCCCACAATTAAGTAACGAAAGCGTTCCGAGTTTATCACCAGCAAACACCGATGACGATCCATGGAAACAGCCATCTGCTTCGCAAACGCAGAATACGCACAAGGCACAGCCTAGTTCTAATTTGGTAGTCCCTGGGGTTGCCATAGACGGTCCTAAACACACTCTTCCTTTGGACGATGACATCTTAGATAATTCGCGCACGCTCGTTGCGTTGGGGAAACCTTCCAGCATTAAAGAGCGGCGAGACAGCTCAAGCCATGGTGTTGCGAAAGGAGCTACACCGAATGACACAAGGGAGAGAGATCGGTAACCCTAGTTTGATTTCCCCCATCTCTCCCGCTTTCTAATTTTCCAAAACGATCTTCCAAGGTCTCCTTGCAACGATCCCTTCTTCGCTGCAAGGTCCATATGGTCAGCCTGGTATTCCAGTCGGCTCCCCTTGTTGATTTTTAGGTTTTGGGAGGCTGCCACTTGAACTGCATTACAATGCCATTATATTTTTACATCAAGTCATTGTATTATTCTAGCATGATACTAGAATAAGTTTGATTGTTTGGGGTCAAAGGACTTCCGAGCACACACATTGATGGCAATTTTTATACTTTCTGTATTTTAGTGCCGTTCTTGCAAACAAATCTTACTTCGTGTTTATTCTGATTACTGCTAGCATTGAGGAGTATTTTCTAACACTTTCCACCAAGACGTTTGTAAAAAGAAATAACGTTGCGAGATAGGTAGCCTTAGGCCAAGACAGCGGGTACAAGAGGATGTCCTTGTAATTCATATCTACTGAGAAGTCGACTATTGAAACTTTCATTTCCCATATGCTATGCTCAGACTTTCTCAGCTTCTCTGTTTCGAGCAATATTCTCTCAAGTTTCTGGCCGTCTGTGTCAAACGTCGTTGCCAACCCTCCAGAGGCTCAAAGACGCTGTCTCGTGTACATGCGATTCGCACAATTCCTTATAGCTGTTTGCTATCTATGGTCCTTCAGACGATCTCTCAAACGAACTGGATTATACAAGATGTTCGAAACGATGTACTGCTCAAATGAGATAGCAACGTCGAAATTCATGAAGAGCAATATCAATCGTTACAATCAGCTGGAGGGCTGGTGTTGAGTTGCTTTACTTGACTTCCAAGCCTGGCACTGAAAATGCTTTGAAGCGATCTGGTGTCAATAGGATGTGAGCTATTTATTATTACTGCGGCGTTCAACGAGCAAGAATCCGACACTAGTCAAACGAAGCAGCGATTCCGTCGTTGGTCAAACGTGCGCCAACACATGTAACCAGTGTACCACTCTCGCCGTCGTCATGAGCTCGCGTCATCAACTTCCTTGGCAAGTTCCATTACGAGGTTTCGAACTTGTGCGGTAATCTGAAGAAAGAGCTGTCGAAGTTGATGTTGATTCCGTGCTATTGCATACTTTCGTGTTTCTCTCCGGCATTCTTTCGTCCATAAGGATTCTGAAAAAATCGCGTGCCTGTCAGGAACTCACACCAAGCTTACAATGATGATTCTGACGACTTCATTAGTGCACGATAGAATCTCGCTGGCGTGTTTTATTTCAATCTTCAACATCACCGAACCTGGTAAAAGATACAGCGTGTCTACACTGCAACAGTTGTGCACGCGCTGACTATGTAAATGATATCGCCATTTCTGTGCTGGATTATTTCACCCTGATTGAGTGAAATAATGCTTGGTGTACAAAATAATATTATTTTAACCAGTGCTAGGGTTTTGTGAGCGCAGGCCCTACAATCAGTTCAGTGGAGCTCTTGTCGAAATCTCTGACAAGTTAATGAAAGGCAGAACAAACGAGAACTTAATTTCGAAGTGGCCGACATTGTCACTCAATGCATACTTCGCCATCCTCACCAGCATACAATTGTGTGAGCAATCCCGGAGATTACTTGGCGCGCGGTTTCATGAGGCTGACAGTGTGGTAAAGTCATCTGGATTCGCAATAGATACTGAGCTCTAGATTCTCATGTTCTGTGATTCAGGCATATCGCTAAGAGCACTACATCTAAGAAGTTTTTGAATTGCAGTCATTGGAGAACTTGAAGCACAATGAGACGTCGAAGTTCTGCTGAGATAGGAACATACTTATCTTCTTCAAGATTAACAAGGGAAGATGTACTGTCACATCTATCGAGTATTCAATATGCCTTGGCCGCGAGAAGTTGTATCGAGTTGTAGCTGCCTTTGCCCACGATAGTATAAGCACGTTACAGAGACTTCATCCACTCTATCTCAAGTACAGTCAATGGTTTCAGTATCAGCCATATCCAGGTATCATGGCCCTCAACTAAATGAGATACGATGCGAGGGAGCAGGACGGCTTGTTCACAAACACGCTCTGCAGTGTGCCTCGACCTCGAAAAAGTTTTCGCAGCGGTCGTAACCATCTGGGGTTCTTAGATCGATTCAGATTATTTGGTTTGCGGCGACCGTTATTCCTTCGGCCCTGGCATTCAGTGCTGACGACGAATCTTGCTTCAAAACTTACAGATTTGTCATCTATTCAACCCAACATTATTTAAATCAAGCGCTGGATTTAGTCAAGAAAGTCCAGCTTTATGTGCACATAACGCTTTAGTGGTCATCGACACAACAGGTTTTTGTCTCTGCTTCGAACGTCTTGTGTGTCGCAAGTTGTGTGCTTATCCAATCTGTATTTCGCTGTTTCCTTCAAAATCTGTGATGCTGAATCATTTACACTGCTTACATATCTTTGAAAGTTGTCGCTACTTAATTGCAAGCACTGAGTTGTTAATGAAGGGTCTGAAATGCAGTTTCCGATCATCACATTGTTTTAAATAACACTTGTTTGGATTCTTACTCTCCAGTGTTCATGGTTTGCAGTCAGAGATTTCTCAAATACGCGATGTAATTTCTTTTATATTAGTCCTGGTTGTTTTGTCACGTGTTAGAAGTATGGACTGCTGAGTTTGTAGACATCGCTGGAGTATGGAGAACATGGAAGCGGTCCTGAATGATGATAACCTTGTGTGTCTTACACCTTATATTGGTTTCCGTATGATAGGTCACAATGTTGAGTGCTTCTTAGTGTTGTCAGAACTCTCAGTGTCAGTCCGTTCCTACGGACATGAACACTAGATTTTGCACGACGGAATCGTGGACGCCAGAGCGCACAAACTTGAAATATGCCTGTAACTAATTCTTCAGCCACCAAAATTGATGATAGGTACCACCAGTGCACGGCTTCACTAGACGTCTGCTACTCGATAAGTGAAATACCTGTAACCTTTTTTTTCCATCAATTTGACTGCGGGGCGAAGAAGGGTGATGATGGTGGGTTTCGTTCAGGTTCATCGGACAGGTCTGGAGGTGTGTGAGTATGACGTCCTGTGTGATTGCATTGTTGGTGCACATGCACTGGATACTATTCTTGGTTTTGAAATTCGGGTGATTTGTACGTCATGGTTACGATTAGTGATGGTTTTATCCATCACAGTTGAGCAGTACGAAGTCGAATAATGAAGAAGTTGCTCTCTGCAGAGGGGTAAAAGGTAAAAAAAATTCTCGATGACAGTATATTCCTTATAAGATAAAAACAAGATACGGCTTTTGTCGTGCCTCTAAATGCATCACTTCGTTGAATCGTGATGTTGAACCATGTTTCATAGATCTATTCATCGACGCAGTGAACAACGAACCTTAAAGTCTGAGTGTCCTATGGCAGCATCAAGAACTACTTTTAAATTCCTTACCAGATTCATTCCTGCGTTCTTCATCTCGAGTACCTTAGCGCCTGTTTTCAATTATTTGAGCACCAAAATTTGTTTTGGATTAGGTCAGGTGACCATATATCCTGTGTCGTCTCTGCCCGAATCAGAAGTGCGCTCATTCGACAGCTGAAAGTTCGAACAATATCACACTGGCTTGAGCTGGTAGCTTTAAACGTATCAGCTCTTAAAACTAGCTGCTCGTGTACATAAATTTTTATCATGCTTTGTGATACTCAGGGATGGAGGTCAGCAGTTCATTTGCACACTCAAATAACCTGCCAGGAACTACTTCGGTTAGACCCCACCTTGTCAACTCAAGCTCAGTGAAGGACTTAAGGTTTCATGAAAGTTCAGGTTGTACAACTAGATGGAGAGATCTCGTTTTCAGTACTATGCTTTGACGATCCAAGAATCACTTCGGTGCAGTTTAGACTCCAGAGGCATTCTGCGGAGGTCTCTTCCTTCCAAAGAAACTTTATCCCAGCAGTGGCTCTTCCTTGTAACCCAGCCAAAAACAGCTTTGCAGGTGCCAAGTAACAGGTATGTGGTAAGACCCAATACAGTGTACCCGACGTGCACGTTTCCCCTGTCAATTGCTCTCCTGGTCTGCTCCATTCACATTTTTGTAGATCAGACTGTACCAGTCATTTTCAAGTCTACATTTGTGATGCAGATTGAACGGTAAGTGCAAAAGCCTGAGTTCCTGTTCTCTCGAGACAGTTGACTCAAACCATTGAAGTCACAAGTATTATAATTTTTGTGTCATCCACTTTGACTTGGTTTCATTTTTTACCTTCTTTTTCTCAGTTGTAAATTTGAGGTGTTGAGTGGAACAGCAAATCTCACCATCGGTACACCAGACAAACCCTGCGATTTTACTGCGGGTGCCACTATTTGTGTTTATTACCCGGCAGCAACACCTATTCATCTGAAAATCCTGCCTCCCAGAGATCAACAAGTGTGAACCAATTCATTGAGTTCCATGACCACCCAATATCCTATCCCCGCCTGAAATTCTGGGGCTATGTTCTATGAAGGTATTAGATCTCTGGACAGCGATTTCCTCTAACTCTCGCACCTCGTAAATCACCAAGATTCAGCTAGAACATTGACCAGGTAAGCCTAATGGTTTGGAGTTATTATATTCCATCATGATTTTCTCACTAGTCGTTTCTGAATATAAACCAGCAGAGAACAAGGTCTCATCGTGTTTTTCTTTTCCTTTTTTGTCAGAAATGAAGCAAGACGATGCTATTAATACATCCGATTTCTTCCTTGTTCCAGTAAGGCGCACCCGACCTTCAGTCACCGACAACGCAGATTAGGATGAGGGGGGTAGGTCGTAAGTAGCCATTACAGACAGGTAACCTGAAGTCTTTATTGTCGATCCCTGGTGTAATCATGATACCCAAGACGATTTGACCTACGAATTCGAGGACACGGCCCTGTGATCAAAGGCCACAGTGCCACACTTGATTTCATGCAAGTACCTCAGAGATCAGCATCTTGAATTCGTTGAATGGATATTTCTCGGATAAAAATCCCCCTCGAATTGCTGGAACGATCACTGTGTGCAGATTGTTTACATCAGTCGTGGTTCGAAAAGAATATAGTCCACGGGATTGATTCAACCTACTGCATACAGGGCCCCAGCATCGGCCCTCCACCAGCCAGAATGGAGACAGCCTGTGGTGGAACCACTCCACTCAGTTCACGATGTCATTTCTTCCACTCAGCAACCCCGAAAAGCGAACTGCGAATTAACAACTAGTGGCACTAATTTCAGAAGTTTCCCCTTTCCCATTGACGAATGCTTTTGTTCGAGATAGATCCGGTGAACAGAACAACGTGGTGGAGTGCTTATCTTCTTTCTCTGATAGGACGAGAGTAGAGACAATGTTTCAGCCAACAAAGCTTGATGGGTTATGATCTCATCCTCATCACAGTGCCGTGCAAAATTGTTTCTTCTGTTTGTCGGTTGTCTGCTTTGGGCAGTACATCTCCACCTGCTGGATGATCCACCTTGGTTTCGTCCGTATCTAAACTCAAGCAAATTTCCTTTTTCTCTTTCCGTTTT